CTGTGCTATGAATCGGCTGATATAGTTAAGTCTTCCCAAGAAACTCATCACATCCTTCTTTTTTTTTGGCGGTGGTAGCTCTTGAATGGCTTTGACTTTCGATGGATCCAGTTCTATTCCTCGGTGGCTCACAACAAACCCAAGAAATTTCCCAGCAGAACCCCAAATGCGCACTTTACGAAATTTAGTTTCAGGTTGTATCTCCGCAGTCTATTGAAGAACTTCCTTAGATCTTCTATGTGGTCAGTGGCCTTCTTGGATTTGATAATAACATCATCCACATATACCTCTATCTCCTTGTGTATCATATTATGGAAGATGGTAGTCATGACCCTCATGTAGGTGGCCCTTGCATTCTTCAGTCCGAATGGCATTATCTTATAGCAGTACACTCCTCACGGCATAATGAAAGTCGTTTTCTCAACATTTTCCTCATCCATCCAGATCTGATGATAACCAGCGAAGCCATCTATGAATGATTGTAGCTCATGTTTGGCACAATTGTCAATCAGGATGTGTATATTTGGCAAAGGAAAGTTGTCTTTCGGACTGGCCCAGTTGAGATCCCAGTAGTCGACACAGACTCTGACCTTCCCATCCTTCTTTGGCACTGGCACAATATTGGTAACCATGTAGGGTATTCTACTACCCTGAGTACCTTAGCGTTGATCTGCTTGGTGACTTCTTCCTTGATTTTCAAACTCATATCAGGCTTGAACTTTCTGAGCTTTTGCTTTACTGGTGGGCACATTGGATCGGTTGGCAGTTTGTGAGCCACAATAGACGTACTCATACCAGTCATGTCATCATACGACCGGGTGAATATGTCCTTATACTCCTTTAGAAATTTTGTGTATTCTTTCTTCTCTAATGGTGATAGGTGAATGCTGATTCGCGTTTCCTTGACATTTTCTACATCTCCTAGGTTGACAATCTTGGTCTCATCCAGGTTGTACTTAGGTCTGTTCTCAAAGTTCTCAACTTCTTTGACAATTTCGTCAGGTATGTCATCTTCATCTGAATCCATGTCCGTTTGTTGGGTTGTCTCATTGCATGTCACAGTCATTGGTTCATAAAGACAAGTAATAGTAATGATGTATTAGTAAAGCAAGGAGAGAAAACGATAGTGATAAATATTAATTCATAAGAAAAATCAAAAATGCTTTTGATAAATTGAATATTGTTTTGAACATCGAAGATCTTATTGCGGGAATTGAAAAATGCGAAAAGAAAATCATTTAGTAAAAATGGTGAATAATGCTTATTTTAGCCTTGCTACCCCGAGGCACGTCGGGCTTTGGTTGTCTTGATGGTCTAATTCTTGAGATGTGCCCCTCTGCTCACAGCCTGTATGGAAGGGCCTTCCTCCCCCTCCTCCTCGAGAATAACGCAATAGTTCATATCACTGTCCTCTAAAAACAAGTTCTTCACTGCTGCAAGTGCTTCTTCTTCATCTGACCCATAAATAATGTCATCCTATTGGAAGGTCTGCTCTAGATGCAGTATTGGGTGCTCTAGTGGGTAGTAAGGACTGCGCCATAGTGGCGACCAGTTATTGAATTATTCCCAGGTGTATTCGTATCCCAAACTGAAGGTAGTGCCATGTTTCTTGAGTTTTATGGGTTTAGAGATTCCTTGGAGGTTATTTGAATTGGGCTGGGGTCCGAATTTAAACATAATTAAAGGGCTATTTGTTAAATACCTAATCAAAATTAGATAAATAATTAATAAAAATAGCTAATAATTAGATAAAATAAAATTAAAGCTAAATAGGTGAAATTAAGGTAATTAACTAATATTTAAAATATTAAAATGACCGACTATTGATTAAAATAGCATACAATGTACAATTAGGCTATAATTGCAAAATTATTGTAATTATAGCCAAACAATGCCAAATTGGCTGATTTGTGAAATAATTAAATCCTAATAGGATTAAAAATGATATATTGAGCTAAGAAATACCTTAAAATTACTTGTAATATAATTTATGAATAATTATTGGATATAACGTACTGAATAAATTAGAAAATAAATTGATAATATTGAAAATTATGAAAAAATACCAATTATTATAAAAAGTGATTTTTAAGGTATATATGCAAATTTAAAAATAGTCTGAGGAAATTGGGTATCAACACCAGCGTCGCGTCTTCGCCCTCGTTTTCTTCTTCATCACACAGCTAGTGGACTGAGTCTATATGCACGGGGATGAGGTTCCTCCTGCGTCTTCGAGTAGGAGACCTTTTATCTTGGGGGTCTTCGGGCTTCGAGACCCTTTTCCTTTTATTATCTTTCTACGATTTCGAAATCGAGGACTCGGTCTCTTCCCCAGGCGGGGCCGGCTTCATCTCAGAGACATCTCCAGTGCCTGCATGAATGAAAATCAAGTATGAGTAAAGGAACGTCTCTAATAAAAAGGAAAGCACCAAAAACATACAAGAAAAACTTACCGTGGTGTTTGGCTTCCCATCTGCCCCTCGCCAAATCCCGCCAACGACACACGTCATATGAGGAGGTCGCGGCTAGTTTCTTGACCCAGTCTTAGACGTCGGGGACCGCATGGGGCATCCAAGCAACCCTTGCAAAAAGATGAAAGCATCACGCAATGCAAAAACGGACTACAAAAGGCTACTGGGGAAAACTTCACTTATGATCGGGGTTCCACTCCTCCGAGAATGGCATTTTCTCCTCGGGGATGATGTCGCAGGTCCTCACTCGCACGAACCGGCTCGTCCAGCCTCGATCCTTAACTTCAACATTGCTAGCAAAGAAGGCCTTGGTCGATCAGTGTTGGAACTTGATCAACCCTCGGAAAATTTGAGGCCAGTACAATCGGATAAGATGATTGAGGGTGAACTCTAGCCTCTCGGCCTTGTTGGAGAAGTAGCAGAGCATGATCACTATGCGCTAGAAAGAAGGGTGGATCTGGCCGAGGGTGACCTGATACCTCTTGCAGAAGTCGATCACAATTGGATCAATGGGACCCAATATGAAGGGGCAAGTGTAAACACTTAGGAACCCCTCCACATGAGTGGTGATACTCTCCTCGGGGGTGGGGATCTGTACCACGACCTCATCCCCCCAGCCACAACCCTTCTTCATGGCCTCGATGTGTTTCTTTGTTATCGAGCAAATATACCTCGATACATGCTTGCATCGACGAGGAATCGCGGGGAGATTTTCAACTTTGAATTCTTTCTTTATGACACAGGGGCCGGGAGTAATCTCGTGAAGGGCCGGCGATAAACCGGTCGGCTGGGAAGAAGAGGAGGAAGTTTTCTCCTTTTGGGGAACGGTTTTTGGAAGTTTTTGCCATTGATTCAGGTTAGAGGAAGCAGAAAGAGATAGAGTTTGATATTTTTTGACACTAAAAGCGGGCGGAGCAGCAAGTAACGAAAGAGAGAGATGAAGAGAAGGAGAAATCAGAGAAATTAGAACATGGAAGCAAAGTTCTTAATTCAAATAAAAGCCTTATATATATAGGAATGCGGTGACGGTTCGGCGGCGTTAATGGCCGACTGCCACTGACAGTCATTTAATGTTTTGTGGGAGCGAACATACGGGAGGTTTCGGTCACCTCGAGCGCTTACGTCACGAAAATGATGTCATCATCAGAGCTCCGGATAATCGAGGCTCAAATCGTTTCTTATTATTTCATTCAAAAAAAATGCGGGGACTATCTGTATATAATCGAAATCAGGTATACCCGATTTCGTAGGCTTGAGGAGTTGCTTCGAAGATAAGCTCAAAACAGACCAGGCTCGAGCCCGATGGCGGATTATAAGGACTCGAAGATCGAAGTGCTCGACGAACACCGAGGCCGAGTATGACCAACCTCGAGATAATGTCGTTATGATTTTATAACAGAAAGAGCGAGATTCCCGCAGCAACCCTATGTTCACGGCGTAAATTTCGGAACGGGTTTGTATAGATTTGTACTAGGCGGTTAGACAGTTGTCCAGTAACATTCCTTACTAAAAATGGAAATGTACCTTATTTAGGACTCCCTTATTATATAAAGGAGAGCCCATTCATTTGTTACATCATCAATCATTGGCAAAGGATTATACATTCTTTACTTTCTTGCTTACTGCTAATCAAAATTGTCTTTTAACTTTATTTTTCTTACTGACCTACCTCGAGGCCACCTTAGCTCGAAGTCGAGAATTGCTTGCACACTGGTTTGACTTACTTTATTCTTTAATTCATACGTTTGATTCCTTGATTATCAGTTGGTATTGGATTAAATCACATATCTTTAAGACCTCAATACAAATTTAATTGTTACTCGGATTTCAGGGTAAACAGTAGCATTTCATAGTTTGCATTATTTGAACATATTTAAACCAAACATTAACCCAAAAGAACAGAAAAAGTTTCTGCAAAACCATGGTATTTATTATTATTTAAGTTTCCTAATGTAAAGAACAATGTTATTTTGCTTCTTTACGACCCTTTATTAGCTTTTCTTTGGAAACGAATAATAGCATTTCTCTGAATATTCACATGTCTTCAAGATTAGTAGCACTAACTTATTTTTAATTAAAAAGAAAACAAATATAAACTTCTACTGGACAATTATACTGGACCGGTATACTTTGCTAACTCCAGTATAATATACTGGAGACTGGAGCACCGGTGCTCCAAACTCCAGTATATTATACTGGACAATTATACTTGCTGGAACTCCAGTATATTATGCTGGAGTTCTAGTGTACTTATGCTGGACTTCATCATATTATGCTGGAGTTCCAGCATACTTATCCTGGAACTCCAGTATAATATGCTGGAGTTCAAGCATACTTATGTTGGAACTCCAATATAATATACTGGCGTATTTTCCGGGTTTTGAACAGTGTTTCCGCTTAGATTTATTTTTACAAAAAAAGTGGCTAAATTTCGATTATTTTTGAAACTGGGCTATTTTTGAAGAACCAGTTGTAAATCTGGCTATTTTTGAATTTCAGCCGAAAATCTTCCCAGCTGAGGTCCTCCTACATTGTCACGGCCCAAATCCTAAGGCCCCAATTACCGCGAACCCATTATCTACTTAGCTTAAACAGGCATAATAAGTGTCTAGGAAATTTATTCAAACATCTGAATAGTGTAAGTCTAATGTACCCAATAAACTAAAACATAAATGTCTGAAAACCCCAAAGGTGCTAGTCTGAACTGATGCATCATAATGTCATGGAAATATCTAAAGAGTACTACGGAACAGGCCCCGCATATTAAGACTCTCTAGAAGAAAACCACCATAGGAGCTCGAATATGGCCGGCTCACCACTGTCTGATTGGGTCAACCCTACGGTCCGCTAGGCTGGCCTCCTGAACTGCTAGTGGGAATATCTGCATTTAAGCACAAAAGAAGAGACGTGAGTACAGCGTTACTCAATATGCATCGTCGATTGTCCCCTAAATGGTGAGACGAGACTTTACATACTGAATAGCAAGCTTAAAACTGAATATATAGCTGGATCATAAACAGTAAGCTGTAATAGCAAGTTTATGAATAGTCTGATATATGACATATAAGAGAATATGTACAACTGCAAAGCAATTAAGCATGGTAACTCAAACACTAAACTGTAAATAAAACAAGTAAACTACTCTAGTTCTTGCGCAGCTGGCGTGTACACTAATATCTGAGACGAAGCACGGATACGTCACTATGAGGGATGATCGATCCACACACAGTATCTGGCAGTCATAGACTCAAAACATAACTTTGTATTTAATCTATTTTGCTCTGGGAGTCATAGACTCGACATGTATTTGACTCTTCAACTCTGAGATGGACAATTAAGCATCAAAATATTTAGATTTGAGTACTCTAGCATATACATGTAAAATATGCAAGTCTGGCCTAGTACCATATCATATAATCTCAACTTATCTGATTGAAGCATACGAGAATGCATAAGAGCTCAAAACATAGGCATGTATATGATATATAACACACAATTCGTAGGATACTAGCAATTTCCATATCCCCAATAAACACCCAATCTCTATGTATGCACTCGTCTCCTTGTATACATAGTCACCCCTTATAACTTGAAGTAGTCCATTAACTCTGTTTAAACATGCTTATCTTAGGAAAACCACATTTAGAGATCAAAGTCCACAAGTGCTTTTCCTAGCTCCATATACGTCAACCGTTCCCAATCCATTGAAATAAATGATTCTCGGGATTATTTATATCTACTGGACGTCTGGACCCATCTCTAAAATCTAGTCTTTGGTCAAAGTCGACTCAAAAATTTAACTACTGGTCAATGGGGTCAATATCTGGAGCAAGTCTCATAAATAGATTACCCGTAAGCTAAGGAATCCAACTCTATGTTCAAAATCGAATCTTGATCTATCTTAGTCAAATCTCAAAAATAGTCATTTGGGGACATAGGTTTTAAACCCACCATAGAGCACTTGAAATCTCAAGTTTTGATCTTAGAAATCCATGGGTAGTCATAAGTCGAATAATGTCTTAGGAATGCTATCTTAAAAGTTACTGATGATTCCTCTTCAAACAAGGTAATTATCCGTAGCTTAGAGCACCCAAAACTTGTACATGAAGGTCCACGTGCGATCGCGAAGGCTAAGTTTTCTCGCCTTCACGATCACGGCATGGAGAGCACGACGCGCTGAGTAAATCACTGGGCTGGGCTTACCTGGGTCTTAGCTTGCGATCGCGATCGCAATGAAGAGACTAGTCACTCACCACTATCACGCTCAGGTTGCTTGCGATTGTGCTGCTTTGCTAGAGCTGCTTTCGCGATTGCGTGCTGGTGACCGTGATCGTGGTGCACCAGCTGACAGTAAAATCTGCAATGTGATGTTGGGTTCTGTATTGGGAAAAAACTGAATTTATATTAAAGATGATGTGGCATGACACGTGGATTAGTTAAATGGTCAAAGCGCAGCAATTGACTAAGAGGCACGGATGGAGACAGCCACGGAAAGAAGAATTTAAATAGGCACGAGACGACGTATAGATACGAGTCTCGTACCAATTTAAATTATTTACAGCCAACGGATTAGAAGGCATTGAAGGCAAAGATCTGATGACAGAAAGGAGTCCAAATTCATTATTAAATACTTGATACGTTACAAAATTGGTATTTAATAGGAATGATTGTATAACGGCTTATTTAATGTCATTTATTACTCATGATTATATCATTAAAGCTGAGGCTTCATTCCTTTACCTAGAATTATCTATAAAAGGAAGAAGTATCATCATTTGTAAGGACACGGAATACTATTGAGAATTTATTGAAATACACATCTATTTGTATTTTTTTTACCATCGTTCTCAAAAGTATTTTATTTTTGTCTCCTGATTATCAGTAACCCGAATTTCTTTTTAGCTTTGACCAAAGACTCAGATTTTTGGTTAAACAGGTTCCAAGAGGTTGGAAACACACCCGAGTTCATTGGGTCTCAACTGGAACTATCCCACCAAGTCCCAAATGGTAAAATTAACTTGTACAAAGTCTCAAAACATAAATTGGGATGCATTAAATATACTCAAAACGAGAGGTTTGGATGTTCCATCTTCAGTTGGCAAGACTGGATGAAACATAAACATTCCTTCCTGTTGGTTAAACTAATGAAGCCACTTAAACATCAGGTGAAAACTCGTCATAAAGTGCAATTCAACAAAAATACCTGGAAATTTCATTATGTAATTGATCATCATCAGAACAAGAATATTTAAATTCACTTGAATACGACATATGCTAGAAATTTGTCTTTTTTGATGATTTTCCTTTTATTTCATTTTTCTCCGGAAGGTGTTAAGGTTTTAGAGCATTCAACTAGCTAGCTAAATGGCACAATCGCATAAGCAATAAAACAAGCAGAAATGCATAGAGAAAGCCAATAGCAGGCACGCTGTCTGTGCTTGTTCTTCTTCCCCAAACTATGAGCAACAAAGGATAAAACTAACTAAACAATATGTTATAGTGTTTGGGAATGTACTCAGATGAACATGAGAAGAACATACCAGGTAAGAATCGAGGATATCTTGTGGCCCAATCTGAAAGCTGTATTGTAACTGTGAAGGCATGATTTTGCATGTCATGTTGGGTTTCTTGAATTTCCTGGGCTGAATTGTCCACAGACCGGTTGCACCAGCTTACTTCAATGATTTTTAGGGAAACAGCATCCTCAAAATGAGGAGGGATTTTCTCGAGCCTCTTACATTTCGTTAAAACCAAACGCTCAAGCTGAGGAAAAGCCTCATCAGAGACGGACCACTGTACAATGTTGAGGCTGTCCAATTTTAAGTATTTGAGTTCAGGGAAGTCCGAATCTTTGACTTCCCATAGATTCCCATCAAAGGCTCTGAAAAGTAACTTTAGAATCTCCAAGTTGGGCAGTTCACTAACGGCTGAAATTTGGTTCCAAGGTAGACGAAAATTTGACAGAGTCAATTCCCTTAGTTTTGAGGGGAAATTGAATTCGTGAGGTTGTTTAGCTGGATAACTGTTGGAAAGAAGCTTTAGAGATTCAAGCTGATGTAAAAAGTCTAATCTGGGAAAAAGAACACAGTTTCCTGTCATTTTCGTTGACGATCCCTGAAATATGCATCTCAGTTTTCTCAAATTTGGCATGCTTCTCAATATCTTCTCTGCATCTTCACCATAAGAGAGACATGGAGTGGAAAAGGTTTCCAAATTAACTAACCCTGAGTTATCAAGTGACTCAAACATGTCATCGTCCAAGCTGAATGACGCACGGCTATTTACATGTATATGCCTCAATTTAAACATCTTCAAAAGTGAATGAGGTAACTTCAACTCTCCGCGCAATCCTTTAACAATGAAAGTTTCAAGATTCCAAAGGTTTGCTACAGACGAAGGAATTGAATCTGCACCCGTCCGAGCAGCAAAGTACCTCAAATGAATTAGTGATATTATTTCACTAGGAAAAGTATTACCAATGTAAATGGATTCCATATCCAACACTTTAACAAGCTTGAAGTAGCTAAAGATGGAAGAATCAACATTATTGTTGGCATTGAATAGTAAAGAACGAGTGCTTGAGCCAGACGTCAGCAACTGAGCAAGCTCATCCCGTTTAGAATATACAGACAAGCGGTATTCCTTAGGTATTTCAGGATAGAAAGTAGAATCCGCACATTGGTCTCTGTTAAATCAAAATCATGCAAATGAGAATTCTTTTGTAATATATATTGGTAAAATTTGAGAATTCCTATGAACATTATAATTGTAAAATAAATATACTCTTTTGTACCTATGAATCCAGAGCAGGAAATTATCTTGTTTGGCCTTTTCCACACAGAACTGGTGCAACAGATCGTGAACGCGACATGTTTTCAGTTTTCCATTGGATTTCTTCTTCATATCCGTTACCAAATTTCTTCTAGTAAGATCTTGCAGGTAATCTTGGGCAGCCTCTTCCGATCCTTTTTCCTTACTGTCTTCTTCTAGAAATCCTTCTGCTAACCACACCCGTGACAATTTAGAGACAGGAATATGCTTGCCCCTCAAAAATCCTCCAAAATAGAGGAAACAAGTTTTCAGACGGTGTGGTAAATTCTTGTAACTGAAACCAATTATAGACATGCCCTTTTCTGAGCTACCAAAGCTGTGTGAACCTAGACTTTCTTCAACTTTTTTCCACGAATATGCTTTCTTCTTTTTCTCTTTGAGAACACCAGCTACTAAGACAACAGAGAGTGGCAGCCCTCCGCAACTTTTTGCTATTCGTAATCCCACTTCTCCAAGTTCGGGTGGGCAGATCTCCCCTCGAAACACCTCTTCCTTTAATAACATCCAACTCTCATCATCTGTGAATAAGCGCAGATGATGGGGATCGCTTTTACACTTAGCATAATCGGCAACTTCATACAGCCTGGTTGTCAGAATAACTCTACTCCTATTCTGAGAACCTTGAAAGCACAGGTGCAAATCGTCCCATGCTGCTGTGTCCCACACATCGTCAATGAGAATTAAGAATCTCTTGGTCAACAGATATCGACGCAGCTCATTAGCTAATTCTCCATCTTCTTTTTTAGTGCATTCAGCAGGTCCATGAACATCCTTCAAAATATCAAGCAACAACTCTCTCCGTGAATATACTTGAGTCACGTAACACATAGCACGAACATCAAAGTGAGAGCCAACTGCCGGATCATTGTAAATCTTCTTTGCAAGAGTGGTTTTGCCATTTCCAGGCATACCATATATCGAGATAACATCTAGCTGATCCGATCCTCCGAGTAGCTGTAGTTTTAATTTGTCCATCACATCTTGAAAACCCACCATTTCTTCATTTGCTCCGGCAGTAATAGCTGATATTGATGGGGGGACAGGATTGGTGGAACCTTTTGCAGCTTGGTTCATGTCAATCTTCTTTCTTTTACAGTTCTCACTAACATCTTTATTGACAAGCTTAATATTCTCAACAACTTCAGTTATCCAATGAACTTTGTACCACAGTGGGTAAGAACCGGCCAAGCAAGAGTCAATGACATACTCGGCCTTGTACGCCGTTTCAGTAGCATTAGTTATATGATCATGAACTTCATCCTGCTCATCATAGTTTTCTGCCAAATGATTGAAAAACAAACTTAAACACAATAATTCCTCCTTGACTGATACAATCTGAGGCTTCAGATGGGTAACTAGCTCGAGCTTAGACTGTAACAGTTCCTCCAATTTTCCCAAGAAACAATTGAGAAATCCTAATCCACTGGTGTTCGGGAAGCAAAGGCGTATCATAGTTGGAAATTTAGAACAAACAGTTTTAACCTCTGCCTCAACAAAATTAAGCACTTTTCTGACATCAGAGAGGTATAACATGTGAAACCAAGCACGACTATCACCACTGACAGAGAAGAAAATGACATACTTTTCCTCATAGGCGACGTTTAGAACACATTCCATAAGGTCTTTGACTTCTCTATACATATTGCGCTTCTGAAAAATATCATCAAGGCACTTCAATTTCTCTTGTACTACTGGGATTCGATTCCTCACGAAAGAGTTCATTTCACACAAAGAATTCAGGTGGTTCAGCATGTCGAATAACATGTTCATAAGGCATTTCAGATCTGAGATAGTAATGCAGGAGACTGATTCATCCAGCAACCGAAAGCATAGCTCTCTGGTCTCTGAATTGACAGACTTGATCTCTTTGAGGAAATCAGATATTGAAAGACTCATTTCGCCATAGCTGCTTTCATAACTGTAACTGCTAATCAATGCTGCCTTGTCGGCAGCCACTTCAGCATTCATTAAGAAATCCTCAAACTGGTTAAGCTCTCTGTGATGCCTGAGAAGATCCATGAGAAAGGCTCTAAGGAAAATAAGTTCTTCATGTGCATTTTCCACCAGATCCAGAAATTGAGACTCTAAAGTGGTTTTGTGCTTTAGTATATCCGTTAACTTTCCCTCCCACTTGAACAGCTTGAAAGCCACAGTCACAAGCTGAAGCAAAAGACTGACTTTCCCATTTTTGCTCCTATCCAAAGCATCCTCATCAGATAAACTGATAGCAGCTTCGGCCTCTATTGCTATAGTTCCGAGTTCTGTCAGGAGACAATTTTGCTTCTTGCAGTCAATGTATTGAATTGGGGGATCGACAAGAAATGTTACCAAGAGAAGCAACCCGTGATGAAACCTCTTAAACTTGTCTGTATCAGTAAGTTTGAGATTGGCTTCATCCTCTAGTAGCAGATTTTCAAGAATATATTCATGAAACCTCATGAAAACCTCATCCATCTTGGGGCTATCATATGTCTTTGACGATATCAGCATGGTGAAATAAGAATCAATGGCCTCAAATTTAGTAGGAAGAAAGTTGAGCAGATTTATCATAGGACGCTCTGGTGCAGAAATGATCTGTCGAATTGCTGCCTTAATAAACTTGAATTTAAGAAGCAATTGAAAATGCAAGAGATTAATTCCCCTGGCCGACTCTCCTTCCTTTGAATCACGAGAAGGCGAATTAATGAGTGACCCTGCATCACTGTTCACAGATAGAACTAAGGGCAAGACGTTGGATATCTGAATCTGCTCTTTGCACTGGTCCAATGTATCCATGAGAAAAGTTCTCATGAAAATCAGCTCTTCCAGAAAATAGTATTTCATGCTGTTTTCTGAGCTTAGTTTCTGTAACAGAATGATCTCTACGTCAAGATGACTGAACTTGGCTTGCAAAGGAAGAAGCGCATTGTCTATTTCAGTATTATTCGTCAAATTCACATCATACAAGGAGTAGATTGTAATTGCAGCCTCAATGGCCAGAGCTTGCGGGTATGATATTAAAAGAGGATCATCTTGTTTATAAGCCTCGTTTAATTTCCCCGGAAATTCAGAAAGGTTATCAAGTCCATGTTGGAGCCATTGCAATCCATCAGGAAAGGCAACTTCATCAAGACTTAGAAGCTCTTCCAGATCCTTTTTGAGAAAGTTAACAAACAAGGTGACCCGAGTGGAAAAGCTTAGATCCTTCACTTTAGATACTGATGAATATGACGGTTTCAAGACACTGATACAAAGCTGCCTCCATTCAGGCTCAATGAGATTCATCCTCTCCAGCAATTCAGAGAAGTTGGGCGTGAAGTCAGGCTCAAGATTCACACTTGAGCCTACGACACGTGGCTGGGACTCTTCATCCATCTTCCAACATAAGATAGATTGGTATGCGGCAGTGTAAAGTACATCCTCAGCGAAGATGAAGAGATCCTTCATTTTCTCATGCTCAATGCACCGCTCTGCAGTTAAGCTGAGGAGGGTTCTTAGATATTTCAGCTTATCCAGGAGCAATGCAACTGGAAGATATCTAGTAATACACGGTATCAGCTTATGAACAGCAGAAAGGCCACCTGCGACGTAATTCACCATCTCCATAGTGACTTGTCTGCTAATGACTGATCTTGATTGTTTTGAAGGACAGATTCGATCAGCAGTACTCTCGGGGTAAACTATTTGCAGCTTCTCTGAAATGATTCTGATTGTGTCAGTGTCACTAGCCAGATCTTGATCTCTCAAGAGACAAAGGACCTCAGAAAAGCCATCATAGGCTTCGTCGAATAGGGGCCCAAGCTGTGCAGATATCCAATTCTCAGGGTTATTACTTGCCAAAAAGTAATATAAACGACCGAGTTTACTATAAGCATATCTCAGTTGATCCTTCGTCGAACTATTTAAATGCCTCGTCGCCATACATTTTTTGATGGTCGTCATTGCTTGATAGCACTGCTCCCTGCCCATCTTTCCACTTCCGTCCCTGCAAGTAACAAAATTAACCTCTCAATTTAGAGCAGTTTGACACAAACATATTTCTATGCATTTGACTAATTCCACTGGAAACTGATGTATGGAACTTAACATTTCCCACACGTCCCGACATGGGCAACTGGAGCATGGATAACATAATATGGGGCTCAATACTGAGATGCACAATAACAAGAATCGATGGGTTTGACTCTGATACCATGTACACAAATAAGATATCGGAGAATTACTTGTCGTTTTATGCACTGAGTACAATTTATTTATTTAAATACAAGGGATGTTATATCTCTTGTAATTATATAAATAAATAGATATAGCATCTCTTGTAACATCACACTCCTAGGGTGTCTGAATGCGAGACACTTTGTGCCTTAAACTGAATTTTTCTTAATTACAAGAGATTCTATATATCAAAGGAAACAATAACCAAAAATAAATAAAAGAGAAAATTCTAGAAATCTACACATATGGAAGGATAACATTAGGTAACATATTCTTAATTTCTTCTGCTCTAGCTCTAGGCAAAAATTTCATCTGTGATCATCCAAGTGAATATTCATAACACAAAAGTCACTATTCTAACTTTTGTCTAGTGTTTGGTTAGACTCGTAAAATATTGTGTAGTGTTTGGTTAAATAGTAGAAAATAAGTTTTTATGCTACTCTCCTCATCCTCCCTTCCCCAAATTCCAATATTTCTCCCCAAATACCAACATTTTCAGGACTCTATTTTCTTTAAAAATTTAATTAGTCTTTTAAAAATTCACATAAATCCAAAGTGTGTTGCTTTACTTTTTCACATAATAACAACGTTGAAATTCGAGCTACATTACTAAAAAGAAAATACTCTTTTTTTGGTTGAATAAGAAAGTACTTTTTCAACAACGTGAAAAGAAATTACTCATTTTGTTGAAATGAAAGAAAATACATTTTTTACATCATGAAAAGAAAAGTATTTATTTTGTTAAAATGAAAAAGAAAGTACTCTACTACAACATGAAAAGAAAGTACTCATAATAATATTTCTATTTAGAGTGG